CAAAGTTGTTCTCACCTGTAGGATACATTTATCACATCGCGTAATTTGCATGGGGATTCCTCAATTTTGGACGCTAAATACAAAGCAGCAGTGGCAACAAGCTAACAACACAAAATAAAATTATCAAACATGGAAATGGTGAGTCAAGGATAAAATAGTATTCCTTTCATGGCTCCAAGAAAAAATTAAATCCTTTTCCCTACTAACTCGGGAAAAAAAACCGGGGGGAGGGGGTGAATGAAAATGCAACCAGTATGGCATTCAGCAAATCTAATTGTTTTTGTGGTATGTAGTTTTAGTTTATTTCAGTTATCTTGTTTCATATAAAATAAAACAAACAACTTACATTTGGATCATGTTCACTCTGAAAATACTGCTTGTGTAGACGATGATATAGAACACAAGCAGAAGCACAAGTCACTGGGGGCAGCTTTAGTCTATGGCCTGAATTAACAAATATTTAAAAATGTTAACAACCATAATCTTAAAAGAAAATCTATTTCTATCAGTACAATGATACCTAAACACTTTTTCAAGATTGACACATTCCTGGGGCGAGACATGTTAGCTCAATCCCTGCCATTTTGATTTCTCAGCCTATTTTGTCACATGGTGCCATGTGATTTTTTTTAGCCTTTTATTTACTTAAAATAATGTGCTCAATAACCCTTGCAACTAATAAAAATGGGCCTGTTTTCTTACTTTTCTTAATGTTGTTACCAATTCAATTCATCTACATTGTTACTCTGGGTTTACAGTGCAAGAAAAGTTGTGGCATACACAGATGTCTCCACATTCATTCACCAAGAGCACCCCTCAGCACAAGAGGCAGACCAACTAATTAATATCAAGCAGTACGTGGAAATAAACGATACCCCCCCAAAAAAACTTATATGTCAGTCTTGTGCTCACATCATGACCTTACTTACCCGCCTTCATGATAAATTTTGTGATGTTCGTGTCATTTTTGTGTGTTGTCTTACTCTTCACTACCTTCACGTTGGGACCACTTTTAACCTTTTCCTCGCAATCTAGCTTGTCTACATCTAAGTTCTTGCTTGTTGCAGCTACTTTGTGATCCATTGTGTACCGATTCCGGTAGATTTTTGTATTTTGTCAGTTTGCTTGATCACATCTCTTTTCACCTTTTCTCAATGAACGAATCCGACAAGTCCGACAAGTCCACCATTTTTTTTGAGCCTTTAGTGTTGTGTCCAGCAGTTGACAAAAAAGCTCATGCTCAAAGCCAGCTGCGTTGTATCGGCGTACCGTGGACTGTGCAGATGATCGTGTGATACTATTCTTACCAAAAATGAGGGAGTTAATGAAACGTTACCAATCTTTATCAAAATTCTACGCTACACTTGGAAAAAAGTGGTGAGAAATTTTATTTCTACATTAATTTTAAGCCATGTCATCACTCTACTTTACATTGAAACCCCTCTGTAGAGAACCTCTGGTACCGGTTTTTCGTGAATGGTGTCTTCAAACCGGTCGAGATCAACTGTATGAATGGCTGGAAACCGCTTTTACATCTGAAAAAAACTGCATTCCTAGTTTTTGTTTTGTGTTTAAAGCATACTGAGTCCGGTTTCCTGCAAAATTGAGCTTATAGTCTCTTGAGGTGGTACAGTGTATCCATATTGACTATAGCTGTTCACTTGCACGTCACATCAACCAAGAAACATTTCACATGACTCAATACTTAAAATTGGTTTAAACACTAATTTCTGTCTACTGCATTTGTTGATGAAAAGCCTTATTACAATTGCAACAAAGCAGTGCCCTCAAAGGCTTTTAACTCTTTGACTCCCATGAGTGACTAGGACACAATTTCTCCTTACAATATCAATACAATATCAAGCAGACAATTGATGAGAATACAGAAAAATATCCTTAGGGTAGAAGTTTATCCAATACCAAATTCTCCAAACTACTGGTAACATGATAACACTTGTATGGTAGAGTACAGTAAGGAGAATTGCTTATGAGATCTCAGTAGTGAAGCAAATGTTTTTTTACAGGTTTATATTTGTAATGAAGCCGTTTTATTATTTTAAGTACCAATATACCAGCTTTGGAGTTTCATATGTAGAAGCCCCTTTCTGTATCAGAGGAACTTTTGAAATGACTGGGATGAGATAATTTTCAAGTGCCAAAAGAAAATTCATCATTTTCCATCTTGATAAGTAGTGGGAGGGGATATTCAACCCATCAGTGTGCTTCTTGGTTATTGTTATACCAATATTCTTTTAACAATCCAGTACACAAACTGCTTATGGGGCCTCAATAGCCTTAAATTCTTTTACAAGAGCAACCATAGTTTAGTTCACATTTCCTTAGACAACTACAATCAGTGTATAATTATATTAAGCTAAATTAGTTTTGCATACTTAGATAGTTATTAATAAAAAACTAAATGTAGATATCTAGGGTGGAAATGCTTAAGTAAACCACTCAGTTGTCTAGTTAGACAATAGACTTCTCAAGTTAGTACTTTTATGATATTTGCATACATGCACAACACACCCCAACACACTCACACACAGTACTCATACACAAACACTTTTCATGTAGGACTGAACTGAAGTCATATCCAAGAGCTCTAATTAACACTTATAGCTGATTTTCCATGAGTGAGAGCAATATTTCATGGAGCATTAAGTTATTACTTAAAGACTGATAACTGTTTTTTCTGACTGACTAATTTACTTTTGTAGAATCCCTTTATAAACCCTGCCTCCTTGATATTTCTGCCTCTTTTTGCACATGAACAAATCACACCCTTGTTAACTTGGTAGTCTTTTTGTAATTACCAAATTCTTTTGCCTCAGGGTTAGTCATATGAATAGAGTTCCACTGCATGGTTACTGGATAAATATGTCATTTTGCTATACTAACAAGATTTGTTGGTAATTCTGCAGGGTACTTACGGCTGGTGCATGGGGAACAGGACTGGGAGTTGTTTTCTTGTATGTGACTGACTGGAAAGTTGTCACCCAAAAGATTCCATTTATTAAGGATAAATATGATCATGAAATTCCCAAATGAAAGGTATGTCAACTAGTTACCGATAATCCATACTATAAAAAATATGCTTTTAAAATCACAGGTTAGATTTCATCATAAATGTCATTCCAAGCTTTATTTTTTTTCATTGTAGGAGAGGAAATATTTGCACAGATGCTTTGTTGCTTCAAGATGTCAGAGGGCTGAATAATTCTGTTATTCTTTCAAGTATTTGGACTACTGAAGCCAGTGGCTTTCTTGCCTTGTAAAGACTGTTTTATGATTAAATGATACATTTGTTTATGAAACTGCTGTTACTGTAGTATGGCTAATTGCTGATGATGTAGAATCAAAGCCCATAAATAATGAAAAGATAGTTAAACTTTACAAATCATGGTCAAAACCCTTAATTTTCTTGTTCCTGTTCTCTTAAATAAAGGGTGTGCACTGTGTGAATGCTCGTGTCTGTGTGTTAGTGTAATTTCACCGCAGCTAAATTTCAAATCTTGGTCCCCAAGAACATCAAGATAATGAGACTTTATTGTCATTTGCATGATCATTTTCAAGGGAGTTCTGGAGATGGTTGTTAAGAAAGATGGTTTTTGTCTTGTCACAAGCATGGGACAAAGAGGAATTGAACCTCAGACCTTTGAATTCCATGCACTGATGCTCTACCAAAGAAAAATTCTGAGTCCCCATGTGGAACACATGTAGTCCAAATTCACAAAAATGAACAAAAATACAACCATCCTCGACTACAATAAGCACTTTTTGATGGAGGTGAAATTTACTTGTTTCTTCTTAAATAGATGAGATATCAAAATTTGCTTTTAGTTGTGTAATTTCTAGTGCATTGAGACTGGGACATCAGCTCTGTATGCAGGAGATTCTCAATTAATCATGGAGAGTTCGCGTTTGAAATTTCCTGAAGAAGTTTCAGTGGCATCTCTCTTAGTGAACATTGTGTGGGATGGAGGGTGTTTTTCATCACTGAAATTGTAACTATTTCTCACTCAGAGTTATTGTCCCACAGAGCACTGAGAGACAGTTAATGGTGAAAACTTGAAACGAAAATTTTTTTATTTCTCTTGGCTTTGAATTGACCCTCAGCAACATATTTACTGGTCAACAAAATCTTAGATGCATGAGCACTCGCATATAGAGTATTTCTCCAACTTCTACTGGTAACACATTCTTCATTTTGTGGAAGAGAGTTTTTGTTTGCTACTTCAAATGAACAATAGCCTTCCATTTGGCGCCAAAATATGCGCGGATATTTGGTCACGGACATAAGTTGTTCGGAGATGCAAACAATTCTCCGAAAGTGAAGCTTGCTTCGAGTAACAGATAATGTCCATGGACAAGCGTATTTTCGGCCAAATGGAGGATTATGTGTTTACTATCCTTCAAATATTTTTGCAACTGAAATATATTTGGAAAAAATGTTTATGTAAAGCTTGCAGTAAAATGTTCACGTTTTCAGTGTTCTCTGGCCCAACTTTATAAACAAACAAACATGTCCCATCTGTAACGATGGAAAAACGCTCTCATGGGGTCTATTTTCGGATAATGCCCAGTTTTAGCTCAGGTGTATTCGGTCACGTGACCAATCGCACCCGAGTGAAAATAGATCAATAAGTATATAAATTGTGGTTAAACTATTGTATTAGTGGGTTATAACCAGTATCTAACATCTGACCATCCAATTATGGGTGCAACACTAACATGGTACTTGAAAACAGACAGACATAACCGATCCATTCGTACTTGAAGAGGTCCACAGGTTGTTTGGGTATTTCATTGCTGGGGAGTTTGAAAACAGTTACCGTGTTTTATACTGGAAAGCTCAGGGAGGATTGCATGTTTATTAGAAGATGGAGATGTGCTCAAAAATTTATTATACTGCAAAGATCAGTGCGACTAAGTTGCTTTGATGCAAAACATGAACTATTAAAAGACTATGCCAGCTAAAAAAAGCTAATTATGAGTAAATAGATCGGAAATGTAGCTTTTGCCTTGAGATCGATGGATTCCCCCCCCCAAAAAAACCTTGAAAATCCTATCGGGTTTTCAGAACTAGAATAGGGCTGTCTCCGAAATTCGGGTCAGCAGTTATTTTCAGCACTGTTCAGGAATGCAAACTACGGCCGAGGGGATAAAGAAAAGACACCAAACTTTCTCAAAACTGAAGAAACTTTTTATAACAAAAACATTACGCGAAATTTAAAAAGTTATGGGGGCTGGTGTGTCAGAGGAGGAGCTTTTGTGAGGAGATACATCTGCTCAACTACTACTAAGAATAGCGGTGGGTCAATGACCCCGATATTCGTCGGCAAACCGACTTAAGATGCAATTTCTCTCTGAGAGCAACTGAATCACCTGATATTCTTACTCATAAACTGAGAATTTGATTGGGCCGGTGACTACGTCAACATAGGGCTCAGCCGATAAAGCATACAGTCACCAGTAGACGTGATGTGCCTTTAGCTCAGCTCAGTGACAACGGAAAGTTTGTAGAATTAGATTCAGCCAGAGAGGTCTCAGCTTAAGGAGAGTTTAGATTCCCGGCTAGTTTTCAATTCGATTTCACTTCCGTCAATTTGATTTACGATAAGAAGAAAATTTAAAAGGAAGCTCCCCATCCAGAAAGGGTACTGAGGATTCACAAGCCCTAAAAGAGCAAACTACGTTTGACTTTACCACTATTGAGCCTTTTGAAAGTTAGATTTCTTCGTCATCGCACAAGTTTGACTAATTCTTGTTGGTAAAATGCGGAAATGCAAAGCGAGCGGCTAGTGTACTTCAATCAGCCCCAAGGCTACCACTTCACCCCCTAAGGCTACCACTTCGCCCCCCAAGGCTACCACTTCGCCCCCCAAGGCTCGCTATTTATGACGTGCAATAAAGTCATTGTCATCTCAGAACCCTGCTTCATCAATCGCCGATTGGTTACATACCTTATTTTGTAGGGAAATTAGCTGTATCATGGCCTTATTTGTCTTACTGCCCTAAACTTGTCTAAAGATTAAATTGATAAAAGCTGATAGTTTCGAAAGAAACTGTTTGGGGCTGCGTCGGTGGGAGTAACGAAATAACTTGGATATATCAACAAAGTTGAAGGGCTAACGCTCGAAACGTCAGCTTTTGTAATCGTTACGGTGGCCAATTTACCACTTCAACTTTGTTGATAAATCCAAGTTATACAGATTAAATTGCTGTGGTGTAGTTAGGCAGAATGAATGATTGTATCCACTCGAAGATAAGTTTCCTGGCACGTTTTGGAGTAAAAGGGATAAAAAACGGTCGTCGTTCATTAAATGAACTGCTTTGTCCAGCAAAGTTCTTCTTGATTTTTTGCCAATTAAAGGAGGAAAACAGCAGGTAGAGACCAAAATCAAGCAAAAAAAGGCAAAAAAAATAACGCATATAGCATGTTGGCTGACTTTCCCTGCGTTACCCCAATCCCTGCACTCTCGCGCCCTTTTGAGGGCCGACGGTTTAACCCAGGTGCTCGGAGGTCATGGAAGGAAGAGTTCTGACTTAAGGATCTGGTCCGTTTCACGTCAGTTAGCTTTTAAAACTGTCCTGAGTATCAAACTTTGATCATCAATTTAAATCGACTGAACAACAAGCGCAGCCATATATGAGCTGTGACCCGACAGGCAAAGCGTACGCTTGGGTCTTTTCCCTTTTCACCGCGCTTCCATCGCTATTAAGAACATTCAACAAAGTGATTAAAAGACATTATAGCGTGCATGGAGGTCCTGCTGGACTCACTGAAAAACAGTTCCAACAACAGAAAAACTATCAGCACATGATTCTTGAGAATCAAACAAAGTTTCTTTAGCAAAGTTGTAGCACATATTGAAACATTTGACGACTGTTAGAATAAATTTTCCCGAAAACAGATATCTTTTCTCGTCGGAATACGCACTAATACACTTCCCCTGAGCGGTTTGAACCCGGTTTGAATCGATAAAAGAATTGTAAAGTTAAGTTCTTGTTATTTTGTTGACTCATGCAGTTTTACAATGTTTTCATTTATTGTTATGTTTTGTTTACCTTAAGAATCTTATGACCTTGGTCATACAAGTGCTTGCCATAAATTAGATACAGGCGGGCATATTTAGAGATAGCACAAGTGGTAATTGAGTTTTGGAGACAACTTACTTTTAAACCAAAATATCGAAACTAGGCACACGATTTGTTTTGTCTATTTCAGAAGTGCGCATGAGCAGAAGATTAGGTTCAGCTGTTATGTCGCTTCAGTTTTATCTGTCTTTTATTCAATCAAGAGCTAGGCTAAGGTTATATCTCCAGTTGTACTTTGAACTAACGACTAAGTAAGGAACAATGGAGGAAGGGCAAAGACGGAATTATTTCCGTCAGCCACACCCCTCTTTTTGGATCGTCTTTTTGGTCCAATGTGTGCCAATGTGCTGTCACCTTAGGCTCAGCGAAAAACTTCCTGCATAGCATGATTTGCTAAACTTTCCAACAAAAGCCTGTAATTCATAAAACTGGTGCAGTAGATAATAAACGAGTCATATTCCTTAGGTTCTCGGTTCGCATCTTTACACAGAGTGAATAGGTAAGCGCACGTCTCACCGCTTGGCAAAAGGCGACTTTCACTTGAATTTATTTTGCTTTCGTAAGAACCGTTTCTTTTAGCAATACAGTAAACAACTCAGCAAACTCGATTGTTCCGTCTTTTCGGGAAAAGTCGCTCTCTCATTAAGGCAAGGCCTCAGAGCGATATTTTTTAAAAAAGACTAAATTCTCGGTTTTGGAGTAGTTATTAACTTTTAAAGTAAAACCGTTGTAAGATGAATGAAAATGTTATGATCTTACAAGGTTATAAAAATCGAAAAGCTTGGTCCGTACGTCATGACCTCGAGCCAAACATTTTCCCGTCCGGCCCCTCCTCTTAATATTTATGTACCTACCAGAGAAAATAATGGGACCATTGTTTTATCTTGGCACTTAGTCTGGTGAAAAATTTGGCACGCTTCACAATAGCAAAATAGGGCTAAAAAAGCAAAATCTTAATAAAGACCTCACTGTTTATTTTATTAGGGTTTTTTTTATTGCGTTGGATCCCTTTAATTATCATGAAAGCTCTTGAATGTGTATCTCTTAGTAAGGTTTCAACACTGGATAGATAGATAGATTGATAGATAGATAGATAGATAGATAGATAGATAGATACTTTATTATAAACATCTTGCAGCCATAGGCTGAATTACGGAATATTTACAAATGCAGATGGTAAAGAAAGAAGTATAAAATATTACAACTTCGTCATTAAAAAAGAAGGAAAATTATCTACATCTTATAAATATGGCTAAAAATAAAACTGTTCTTCAAGCGCTCGGTTTTGCATATGGAGAGTATAATCACTTTTGCGCCTCAGTGCGTATCTACAACTCTTCCTTTGGGGGAGGAGGCTGTGGAGT